CTGCTTGACCCCTCTCTCTCCCTCTGCACCCCTCTCTCTGCTTGACCCCTCTCTCTCCCTCTGCACCCCTCTCTCTGCTTGACCCCTCTCTCTCCTCTCCCTCTGCACCCCTCTCCTCCTTCTGCACCCCTCTCTCTCTGGGTCTCAGGCTCATCAATGTCACGGTCCAGTTCCGCCTGAAGGCCATCAATATCCAGACCATAATAAACAACGAGATCCCAGACTGCTACACCTTCACTATCACAGTGAGTGGACCGCAGCGCAGGCCCTGTGTGACAGTACTGTTACCCGCAGGGGAGTGCAGCTCTCGGCGCCCAGCACATCTGTCATCTGTGTAGTGCAGTAGAGTGTTGGTAGTGTCGAGATCTTTACTGTAGTGTCTGTAGTGTATGGCAGTGTAGTAGTAGTGTAGTGCAGTAGTGTGTTTAGTGTCAAGATCTGTACTGTAGTGTCTGTAGTGTATGGCAGTGTAGTAGTAGTGTAATGCAGTAGCGTGTAGTGTCGAGATCTGTACTGTAGTGAGTCTGTAGTGTATGGCAGTGTAGTAGTAGTGTAATGCAGTAGTGTGTAGTGTCGAGATCTGTACTGTAGTGTATGGTAGTGTAATGTAGTAGTGTGTAGTGTCAAGATCTGAACTGTAGTGTGTAGTGTCGAGATCTGTACTGTAGTGTATGGTAGTGTAATGCAGTAGTGTGTAGTGTCAAGATCTGTACTGTAGTGTAAGGTAGTGTAGTGCAGTAGTGGCTTTAGTGGCAAGATCTGTACTGTAGTGTGTCTGTAGTGTAATGTAGTAGTGTGTAGTGTCAAGATCTGGACTGTAGTGTGTAGTGTCAAGATCTGGACTGTAGTGTATGGTAGTGTAGTGCAGTAGTGTGTTTAGTGGCAAGATCTGTACTGTAGTGTGTCTGTAGTGAAGTGCAGTTGTGTATTGCATGGTACTGCAGTAAAGTGTACCATTGTGCACTTTGTGTAAATGCTCATGAGCCTTGTGTCCTTGACAGATCGTCTACGATAACAAGGCCCACAGCGGCAGAGTGAAGATCAGCCTCAACAATGAGGCGACAATCAAGGAGTGCAGAGACCCCAGTGTGTCTGGACATGGTGAGAGGGGCGCAGGGCCTGTCGCAGCCTGGGCACACAGTCAGGGGTCCTGGGGTTCACCCTGTCACAGCCTAGGCATCTGTACAGAGGCACCACTGGGGTTAAAATGGGGAGAGTAGACAGGAGAGAGAGAGGGGAGAGGGGAGGGGGAGAGAGGGAAGAGACAGGAGAGGAGGGGGAGAGGGAAGAGGAGGGTGACAGAAGAGAAAGGAGTGTGGTGAGAGCAATGGGCCAGACAGAGTGAGAGAGACGAGCACATACATGCACATGCACACGCAAATACACACACGCAAGCACAAGCGCAGATCTGTTGACTCTGCACATCACCCAGACCAGAGGGGCTGCTGACGTCTCCCCGTCCTCCCCGCAGCAGAGAACTACACGCGCCTGGCGTTCGACGTGATCGTGGTGATCGTGTGTGTGCTGTCCCTGCTGCTGTGCGGCCGGTCCATCCTGCGGGGAGTGCTGCTGCAGCAGGTACCCAGACTGGGGGCGCCACAGACGCTGACACTGCTGACCAGCTTATTAGGGCCTCGAGCGGGCAGTGTTGGGGGTGTGTTCTCGAGCGGAGCAGTGTTGGGGGTGTGTTCTCGGAGAGAGCAGTGTTGGGGGGGTGTTCTCGAGCGGGCAGTGTTGGGGGTGTGTTCTCGAGCGGAGCAGTGTTGGGGGTGTGTTCTCGGAGAGAGCAGTGTTGGGGGGGTGTTCTCGGGGAGAGCAGTGTTGGGTGTGTGTTCTCGAGCGGGCAGTGTTGGGTGTGTGTTCTCGAGCGGGCAGTGTTGGGTGTGTGTTCTCGAGCGGAGCAGTGTTGGGTGTGTTCTCGGGGAGAGCAGTGTTGGGGGTGTGTTCTCGAGCGGAGCAGTGTTGGGTGTTTTCTTGGGGAGAGCAGTGTTGGGGGTGTGTTCTCGGAGAGAGCAGTGTTGGGGGTGTGTTCTCGAGCGGAGCAGTGTTGGGGGTGTGTTCTCGAGCGGAGCAGTGTTGGGGGGGTGTTCTCGGGGAGAGCAGTGTTGGGGGTGTGTTCTCGAGCGGAGCAGTGTTGGGGGTGTGTTCTTGGGGAGTGCAGTGTTGGGTGTGAGTTCTCGGGGAGAGCAGTGTTGGGTGTGTGTTCTTGGGGAGAGCAGTGTTGGGGGTGTGTTCTCGAGTGGAGCAGTGTTGGGGGTGTATTCGCTGACCAGTGTGCTCTGCTCCCTCTCCGCTGCGGTGTCCAGGAGTTTGCGCGGTTCTTCCGCGAGCAGCTGGGGCGCGGGGTGTGCTGGGAGGACAGGCTGGAGTTTGTGAACGGCTGGTACATCCTGCTGGTCATCAGTGACATCCTGATCATCGTGGGCAGCTGCATCAAGATCGGCATCGAGTCTAAGGTCAGCCTCGTTACTGGACCCAGCTCGTTAGGCTTCTCCGCCTGCGAGCTGATTGGCTCGCTTGGTCCCGACAGGGCTCTGCTGATGGGTCGGCTCGGTCTCCCTGTCTCTAACAGAACCTGTCCTCCTATGATGTGTGCGGGATCCTGCTGGGAACGTCCACCCTGCTGGTGTGGGTCGGGGTCATCCGGTACCTCAGCTTCTTCCAGAAGTACAACGTGAGTGCGTGAGCGTCGCCGTGTCGGTCCCGGACTGGCCCGTCGGGTTTCCCGTCTCTAGCTGACCCGCTCTTTCTCCCCTGTCCTGTCCGCCCGGATCAGATCCTGATCATCACCCTCAGGGCCGCCTTCCCCAACGTCATCCGTTTCTGCTGCTGCGCCGCCGTCATCTACCTGGGCTACTGCTTCTGTGGCTGGATCGTGCTGGGGCCCTACCACGTCAAGGTAACGCAACACTGCACAACACTGCACAGCAGCACACAGTCCAGTCTCACTAATGAATTTCAGCACAGTGCTGGGGCCCTACCACGTCAAGGTAACACAACGCTGCACAACACTGCACAGCAGCACACAGTCCAGTCTCACT